GGGGGGTGGTGGGCACAGGGTAACTGGGCAGCATAGTGGTGGCTTAAGGAGTATGTAACCTGTTGATAAGGGTGTATGGACGTTATTAATGAGCATGGCACTTCAGCGCTGTCAATGAGGTTCTGTGCAAAGCAGCAACACATACCTCCCATTCCTTTTGCAGCTCAAAATTGTCAGCATCACCAAAATGGACCCTCAAGAATTCAAGCACATGTAAAATACCCTTTCCATCCCTGCAGCCTCCCCTCTTCATCTCCGCCATAACCTGCAGACAAGATCCATGTGGAAAAGAGTTGGAATAATGGTCCACAAGGTGACACATTTGGATCGGGAAGAAAAGAAGAAGTCGATCCAAGTTCTTGAGAGAAATCATCAAAACATCACACATGCATATGCTGCTCATAATGTACAAGGGTTGCATATAAGCATTCTTTTTACTAAGGGTACATACTATATACTTGTACAAGGACCTTTTTGGGTGAATCTGGCCATAATGGCAACCGGATTCAATGAGGCAAGTTCCAATCTGAGAATGCCCTAGAGGGCAAGGCATAAATTATTAAATTTATAATTATTAATTAATGTACCAAATGTTACAAGGTGCACAGCTCACCCCAGTCTGTCAAGCCAAATCAGTCAAGGCCACACATCCTAACCATTCCTGCAGCTGGACTTAACATCATCGCACCTTGAAAGACAACACAACTTTAGTAACTTGACCCAATTTTATGGCAAAATTGTGCTTTGCCATTCTAATTTCCGGTTATTTGCGTGGCTCTGTCCTTTATAAAAAGGACTGGCCCCAGGGGGGAGTGCGGGCTCATGGGCATATACGACATTGAACAAGTGGGTCAGACAGTCAGCAGAGTGAATAAGCACTGCGGAACAAAGCTCGTGGCGAAGATGAAACGTCTCAGAAAGGTGAGGGTCCTGGAAGACGACGACTACAGGATCTTGGAACCCGGAAATCCGATCCAGGAGCTCGAGATCGACCCCGCAGAATGGGCGTGGAAGCTCTCAATGCCGGTAAGGGGGGTTGAGCGGCGCATTGGCCTCCTCGACCACACTACCAGGCTGGGCTATAGGTGAAGATGGAGATCAGCAAACACGCACAGCACCATCATCCAGCAGCACTGGGAGAAGAATCTGCCAGGCCCCCAGAGGCGCCTTCCCAAGACACCGTGGAATGTGGTGCTGGCGATCGATCCACAATGTCAGAAGCATGCAATGGCTCATCGCCTACCAAGCACTGCCTGTCAACAAGTGGCTAAGCAAACGCAGGGCACAGACCAACAGACGCTATTTCGAGTGCTGTGCAATCCGCAATTGGGGTGAGGTGGAAGATATGTTTCATTGCCTGCTGCGGTGCGGCGGTGCCCAAAGGCCCAGCAACTGTGGGGGAACATCTGTGAACTCTGGGACAAGACCACAGGCAAACAGGTAACTGACAATACCCTCGCCCTCCTCACTGGCTTCGTGCAACCCTCCGGCCTGGAAAAGTGGGGCGGAAAGCTTTACAGAAGACTTCACCCGCTCACCCTATGGATGATATGGACGAGGAGGTGCAAGGAAACCATAGACCTGCAGCAGGTTCCCCCCGAGAAAGGGGGGGAGGAGCTCAAGCACGCGCTGGACTCCAAATGATCGGACTGGGACACAGTTAAAAAGCAGATCAGGAACCTGAGAACAACATGAGGACAAATTCCGGAAAGACAAACTAGGGAATGGGAAACTTGGGACTTTCGACGAGGGCCGCCTGAGATGTGTGTGGGGATACGCGGCTGAGATAGGAGGACATGCAAGTGATACATGCTCATCTAAGCATGAGCGATGCAGAGGTCCAAGGAGCGTCAGTGTGAAGAACAGGGCAAAAGAACAAACAAAAAAATGCAATGTAGTGCAGTGGAAGACTCAAAGACATGACCCGACACACCAGGTCCAGTGTGGCATACTGTGCAGCCACACGGGCCCTGCAGGGCCCGTCCCGGACCTCCAGCCTGTTTCCCTACAGGGAAACTTCCAGGCTCTTGCCTGGAAGCTTCCTTCTGACAGGGCCTACAGGCCCCAGCCTGTTTCCCTACAGGGAAACTTCAGGGAACTTCCAGGCTCTTGCCTGGAAGCTTCCGCAGGGTCTAGG